CGGCTTCCTGTATATTGTCCAATTTTTCATATAGTCCGCCAGAAAAACGAGTCTTCACCAGTCGATTCATGTTCCGACTGTAGACGATGAACATGGATTGATCCATTTTTCTACCCAAATCATATATGAAAGAAACAAGAGATGGCTGAATTGCATCGCTGAGTGATGGGACAACTCGATGTTCGGTTTTCCAATTCGGAAATGTCCATTCAATGAATTTCTTCGCGTTCTTCAACCATATGCTCGTCTCATCCGGTGCTTCAACCATTTCTTTCAACTCTCTTGGATCCTATAATATATGTAGTTCAACAAAAATGTAAAAAGTAAAAATCACTTCTTCTTACAGAAGATGCACACCTCCTAAGTGTAGAGACTTCGCTCCGTCAAGTCCTGTATGCAACTTTGTTATGAATCACGGTCTATCCAGTCTAATTTATTTCTCAAAATTTAGTTATACATTCATATCATCGCAATCCCTCTTTCAGAAATTGAAGCATATTTTTGAAATAGGAAAAATGTCAAATGACATTACACCATAGAAGGGGAGTGTACTGTACATAGTTCACCATAGCCCCCGATCCATTTTCTATATCCCAAACCGTAAAGTAGAATGTGTCACCGCGAGCTAAATTTACTTCATGGATCCATGAGATAACGTATGCATGCGTGACCGACGCTTTCGTTACGATCTAAATGATCGTAGACATTTCATTGCAGACGAAATGTCGCTAGCCCATTTCGTTGTTGCACTACTTTCTTGCTGACACAGATCGTCGCACATTCACGGCATGGCACTAGCTTGGAGAAAATGGTAGAAAGCAACCGAAGAAAATTCCCATCAAGAGGGCACCGGAGTTCCTGATTCCTATCAGTTGAGGGGGGGGGGCGGAAAGGAATACGAATCTGTCGTTTTCGGAGTTTGTTTCAGCTGTGCCATTCATGTACATGAAAACTTGAGTCTTCATGTACAGGACACTTGAACGAATCAACATTTCTACAGCAGCGATTCTCCGCACTTTTCAAATCTATGGACCTCTTTCGAATTTCTGGGTGCCTGAACGGACCCCTTTCACTATCTTTTTTATTTTAAGTTCATAATATTAGTGAATGCGATTTTGAGGAACTTTTTAAAGAGTTGATTGAAGACGCGCTCCTTTCTAATCTTTAATTTTTCTATTTTCTCCGTTATTTCTTTTTGTCCTCGTCACGTTTTCGTGGAACACGTGAAAGTCTTGCCACGGACCCCTACGGGTCTGCGAATCCCTCGTTGAGGAACGTTTCTCTAAAGAGTTTGAAAACAGCACTTGGAAGGGTAACTCCTCTCTGTACAGATATAAAATGACTTGATGATATCATTACCATGTGGCTATCGAGTTCTAACGGTAATCGGGTGTGGCATGCACAAAAGAGCGCCTCACAGTGTATGATGACAGGTGCATTTTAGAACTCACATCTGGAAGGGTTCTAAAATGCGCTACTGGTGCCCCCCCCCCCCGAAATGATCTCTTGACATAGAAGTGCGATGATCTGTGTCTGCGCCTAAACAGTGCAACGACGAAATGTGCTTGCGACGTTTCGTCCACTACGAATTGTCCACGACCATTTAGGCCGCGATGAAAGGACCGGTAACCATATGCGTGTCTCACGAGTCAGGCATCGTACGATTCTTCACATGCATTTATTTCTGATAGCGTTTTTTTCAGGTATTTAGTAGTGATACTAATATTGGAAGATGGCACGAAATAAAGAACGAAATAGGGAACACAATTTCAATGTATGATTCAGTGAGATGTTCTTGAGAGCTTCGATAATGACAATCTGTATCGGCATCGGATTGCGCAATGCTAAGGGATGTTCATGCATTATGATCAATTGAGCCGGAAATAGAGCATCGAGAATTCAGGTGAACATATTGAACATATGCCATGAATGTGAGTGTAAAATGTAAAGTTCTCCATGACGCTTGACTCATGGGACACCCTGTAGAGTATCATGGATTCAAAATTGTCTTCACCATCAAGCAGTTTTAACATAGTTTGCGGTGACACATTATAGTTGAGCTCCAGTTGCTGAATTTGGTAAATTATGGGAATATGGTCATACAAAATGAAACCTTACCCTAACTACCAATAAATCTCGAATTAGACTTCGCCAATGTTTTGAAAATATTGATGGATATCTCCTTCCCTCTCTTCGCGCAAGGTACATGCAAAATAGCACATGAATGTTGGGTATTTGGATCCTTTCAAAAATAGCAACAAGAGGCCATATTACCCCCGTTGTTGGGGAAATGTGGCCAGGCATTAAGGGTAACGTGACCACTTCTCAAAAACAACCCAATGTTTGTAAGATACGTGTGACATATTTTGGAACATACTTAAGTTACATGAAACGCAACACACGAGGTCAAGCAATTGAAAACTACATTAACTGTTTTTAGGAAAAGCAAAAATGTTGGCATCATAAAAAAAAAACATTTTGAACATTACAGTAACCTCTACGAAAGGCAAGTTTGAACTGCTTTTGGTCATGAACAGCATTGTATGCGATTGAGAGACGGTACCTCGAGACAACCGTGCAGGAGGAATGAGCAATTAGAGATCTAAGGGAACATGCGTTACGATTGTGAATAAAGCGTTCTAATGGTGCATGAGAACGTTGAGCCATTTCTCCGTGTATACACTATAATAAAATCAAAGGATGACATTTTAGTCTTTTGTACGAATGATATTTACCAGCACTAAAATATCCCTAATAGCAAATAACATTGAATCAACACTGAATCCATGCTGTTTCAATGTTATGTGCTACCAGGGTATCTTGCTGAAGAGAAATTACTGGAGGACTTCCATCAGGCGTCCAGAATACATTGCATTAGGCTACGCTCTACGCATATCAGGCGGATGTTCGGTGTATATCAGGACATCCGTAGCGGATATGCAACAGATGGGCAAATGATTTTTTTTGCTGCCTGAGACCCCACATAAAATTCATCTGACAGTCGATAGGTCAATGCATTGCTTCCATGAAATGAAGGTGGTGTCCATATTACACCTATTCTAGATGGCCACATTCCCCCATGTTGGTTTCGATAACCAACCGGAAAGTAAAGCGCTTAGCTCTTTCCTCAAACATTCTGGAGAGACCTTAGAATAACTTCGAACAAATAATATGAATAAATACTGCTGTTAGGAAACAAGCTTAAGTTTTTAAATGCTCAATTTGTTTCTAGGTCATGAATTGAGCAGTCACATACATATAACTTTCAAAGCATCGATTTCTCCTTGTGCGCATTGGATTCATGCACAGAGCATAACTTTTCAATAATTGCATGTACCCTTCAACAGACCTGTTTTGAAAATCACCCCAAACTAATTATTCCGTATGTCATGGGATATATTATGAAGGGCTATATTGGATTGGAAATAATAGTTACCCCATTATTAGTATATTATTCTTGAGCACATTATCACAACTAAAAAATTCTGCGGAGTACCTGTAATGCCGGGAACACTTTAGCGCGGAATTGAGAAGAGGGGATGGTAAAGAAAGGAGTTAGACCTTCAAAGCCTCACCTGCAAGAATTCCCCAACTTTATTGAGGGAGACGAGCATTCGTAGATCGATGTTAGTGTCATCAACTGTGGTCGTTTCATCCACGTTCACCCATCCCTCTTCTTCCATTGTGCGCCAAACTATTTGATGTTCTGGCATGCAGTCAATAATGAAGAGAGATGTTCGGGCTCTGGATATGCTCTCTAGAAGCCAGGAATCTTCGACGTTTAACGTCACAACAGCACTAGATTCACATCCTCTAAAATCCTTAGGGTGAACCAGCTCCAGACGTCCGTCATAACGTTCGTTCATCGCCTTCAATAAGGGAATTAATTTTTCATCGGAGACCAGCACATGAACAGGTTCACGTTCTGATATGACCTGATTCACCTCTGGTGCGAGCGCGAAACGAAAGCAGAAAAACCCTGTAATATAAGGCATGCAGTTTTCGTGTCCCTTGCAAGTATATTCCATATGTTGACCCGGGCAGTGGTACTTCATGAATATCTTGGGCTTGAGACCATGTACCAAAGCCCCCGGACGGGAAGCTGTCGGGAGGCTTTTGGCTTCCAGTCGTAAAGGGGTGTGTGTTTCATTCTTGCAAATCTGACCTAGCAGCCAGTTGCTTGTAGAGCAAGAAGATCTTGAGTTAGGAAGCTTGACAACTTCAACACCCTCTTTCTTGAAAAAAGACTCCAGCTCCTTCAAGGAAATCTCCCTCCCGCTACGTGAATGTGATTGGAAGGCGATCCTAAGCATCACCTTCAATTCATCATTCTTCAAGTCATCTAGAACGTCTTTCCACAAGTTAATCTCATCCTGGGTTGTCTTCGCCTGGATGGAGTAATCATCGACATGAATATAAATGATTGCATCCGGACACTTCCACCTTACTTCATCCACTCTACTGTGATAAATGATATCCTCGGGCAATAGGGTTGCTGATTTAACAAGATCCAAGTTGTTCGCATGCGGCTGAAGATAATCCAAAGAGACTTGCCAAGTGAGAACGCTTCCCATGTGAAACAAAATACAGCGCTCCTTTTCTTGGCGGTCCTGTACCAGATGTCCAATGCTTTCCAGCAAGAAGGTACTCTTCCCAGAAGAAGGAGGCCCAAATATGACAATGAAGGGCTTAGATCTCATGCCATTGTAATATAATTTTTCAACTTGGCTTGATTGAAACTTGTTTTCCTTCACGATGAGGGAATGATTCACTCGGTGATAGGCTTTCTCGTGGAAAAATGTCAACTCATGTTCCTCCTGTGTCCATGCTGTTTTCAGAGCTTCTTCCAGCCCCTTGTCAAAAATTTCTCTCGTCGATTTTGGTACTACCACCTTCCCTATTGAATTTGGCATGCTAAACTTCAATGAAGAATATTTTCCTGTCTCCATGCCTTCTTCCTCCATGGTAATGATCACATTTTCGTAGCAGGAGGATATCATGCGCAGGTAATTTCTCCAATTACATTCAAATTGATCAAGGATGACTATGACGTCTTCCTGGTGATACCCATGAATCTGATCTTCCGTAATAAATACATACGAGTCTTCCGACGTTCCACGAAACTTTCCACGTGAATCGATGAACTTCACATTTTTGGCAAATATATATCTGAAGGTATTCATCAGGAAATTGCGTCGTTCCCTGCTATCCACCACGACATAGAGTTGCTTCTTGTCTTTAATGATTTCTAAATGTGAGATTGCTAGTAAGGCCTGGCAGGATCTAACAGCCTCACATGCTAATTTATTATTGCATGATTCATGAATGGTGGCACATGAGGGGATGGGAAACAAGGTAGGCAGCAATTCTGTCTCTGATTCAGCAAATTCCAAATCGCGCATAGTAGGCTCTTGGCATATGAAAATCCTTCGTGAATAGTCCCCAAGGGCCAAGAATAAATTTGACACGAGTCGAGTGTTTCTTTTCACCACTTTAAGAACTTTAATTTCAACTCCTGCGATCTTGACTCCCTGGATATTAATGTCCTTCCCATACGCGGAATCATTTGGACGAAAGGCAAATGTGAGGCTCTTCACGACCTCTTTGATACTGGAGATCTGGGCCCAGTATTCTGAAAGACGTCTCTCATCCTGGAGGCCTTGCATTCCCAAAGTCAAGGGCACTTCATCCAGAAGTACATGTTTATTCTCTCCCTGCCTACGTAGGAAGGAAAATACTCCCTCACGGTTTTCTGGAATATTATCTTCCCTTCCATCCAGCACCGTGACATTTGTTATCCCTGTAAGCACATCCAAAAATATTCAACTTCCATCCGTTTCGGTTATCTGGAAAAGCAGGTAATTATCAAAGACCACCTTATATTTGAAAACTTAATACCGTTAGAGTCCAAAGAAGTAAATATCTACGTGACTCAAGCTTAACGCATAAAACAACTCAAGGGAAAAGCTAAAGTTGACATTTGAGTGACCGCCTGTGAGTGACTTCATTATCAACCGCAGTCAAAACATTGAAGGACGACACCTGATTTCGACCATGGACAGCATTATCAAACCCAATAGATAATCCTTTATGAAGCCAATTGCATTCAAGAGTAAACAGAAGGATGTACCTGGATCTTGGAATTATCTTTTGAGAGAGAGTTATCATTACCAGGTTATCTGAAATGTACAATGAAATCTCCAATTATACTTTTAAAATTTTAAAATTGGTTGAATTTCTTGAAAGTTTGCTGCACTCTGGATTAGTTGATAGTGGTTGATCATGACAGCAACTGCCAGATCACAGATTACCTCCGAAGGTAGGGGGGGAGGAATTATTCGAATTCGTTTGATGTCATAGTGAGGCTATTTCGAGAACAAGTCAAGTCGGCACGTACATATTTATCCATTAAAGAAAAGTTTAAAAATAGCGACTTAATTTGCCTTCATTACCAAAAATGATAAATACAAATGCGGATCTCCAATCCCATTGCCATGACATGAAACGGAGACTATATGTTGCGTGCTGAAAGAGATGTCTTAGACATGCCAAAAATACTCATTTTCATTTGACATTGAAGGTGATAGATGCACTGATGAATTTGTCCTTCATTATATGAGGGAAAACGATTTGAGTCTCGTTTGAAATGACACTTTTTTATGTCATGCAATTCCTGACTGACCTTGAAAGTCGCGCTTGAAGTCTTCCGTGAGGCGACCCCCAGCGATGTTAACGACTATTACTTCTGCCTCTGAGTCTCCCTTTGCAAGTCGAATTGCTCTCTCTTTCACGACTATTGTCTTTCCCGTTCCTGATCCTCCTGATATTAGGAGAAGCCACGATATTCTCTCATCCTCATCCACAAGATTCTTCTGCTCAGGGGTCAATATACATAATGATTTCTCCATTTGGGCTTCGGAGAGAAGGAAATGATGTTTACGGTTCCTTATCATTTCAACAGAGGAAGATGCACCAACATAGAGTGAAAAGATGCCACGGAACAACGTTTTTGCATTTTCTGAATATTCATCAATTATAGCAGGCGTTTCAGGCACGCCATTTTTCTTAAGGAAATTTCGGAATGCATCTGGACTCCGGAGATCATCTCTTGTCAAGATCTTCTTTGAACACGGTCCGCACTTGAGGAATTCTTTTAAATCCTTCCTTTCAATGAAAGGAAATGAAGGGAACGCAATGACTATGCCAGCAGGATTAAGAAAAGGGGCACACATTGTGCCAAACACCGATTTATCTTCATCACATCTTTCAATTGCCAACCTGATGTCCTTTTCGATTTTTTTCCTGTGTACGTCCAAGGAAGTCTTTCGTATTTGAAAGAAGATATTATAAACCTTGTCTTTAAGTGGGTAAGACAAAAAAATGGCATGGGAACCTTCCTTTAAGTTGGGAAGATAGAGGTCAGATTCCAGTTTTTTTCTTTCTTTCCTTTTCATCTTGTAAAATACTGCTTCGAATGCTCCATGAAATGATTGGCAGAATTTGTAATCTGCTATTAACAATGATGGAGCAGAACCACATATGTTCTTAGCTTGATGGAACACAGTTGCAATAGCAGTGTGGTCGGCTGGGAGTTCAATATCCTCTCCGTTTGAGTTCTGCAGCAGTCTCTGAAAGGCCTCTTCCTTCAGGAGAAAACCGAACGGAAGGGAATAATGAGTTTTCCCAACATCAGGGTAATGTTGATGAAGGTATTCCTCGACTGCCTCCTTGAAGGGCTTTGTATAGCCACCGCCCATGGAAACCTAGGGAGCATGCATTCCAAGGAAGAATTATTTTGAAATACTGAGTCCCATATGAAATTCATATAAATGAAAATGCCTTGTAATATCAGAAGTTAATTTCATAAGTTCACCATTTACTTTGTTTCCATAAAATTGAAAGTTGAAGAAGTCTTAGTAGACTTCTCAAATGGCAAAAGTTGGGGCTTTTAGTATCGAATAAAAATGAAATGTAACTTCAATTCGGCAGCAGAATCACGTGGATCCGGCAATCCATGTTTTCCCCTGAATCGACGTTTATTATTATACATTGAAATAAGCAAGATTAATGCCAGCTTATTGACTGAAGAGTAGGATGAAATGAGCAGACAAGAAGAGATCATCAAAGAATGGACGGGAAACGAATCTTGGCCATTCAAGCGCGAGCATGGTGTGCTACCGCTGCACCACCGAACACTACGTGCAAGCATACGGGATGTAACAGTTCCAAGTAGGACCATGAGAAGGGCCAGTTCTGATTCATGTAAGACTTGAATAAAGCATTAGTCAGACATCCACGTTATATTACCCGGAGAAAGCATTAAAAAAGTTGTTATTATCATTTATAGACGACACTGTTTCCTTGAAATTGTTTAGAAGCACTGGAAAGATAACTTGTAAACTTGTCATTTAGAACTTACTGTTGAGAATATTTTCGAGCAGACCCATTATTTTCGTACGTAACCATAATCTGTTTTCATATTGCAGTCAATTTTCCTATTATTGCATTCGATTTAAAAAGTATGTAAAATCCAAACCAAAACTTAATTGGTTCGGCTTTTAAGTTTCGGCAGTTTAAGTGGAACACATTCGTATCGTGTGATTGATCTTGGAATGCATATATTCCCATTTTGGACTCAGTATATATTATAAAAGGGGCGTTTCTTGCAATAAAATGTGTGCAATTTTCTTCTACAAGTTGAAGTACATTAATCACAATAAAACAATGGTTCACTTCAGTAGTGCCATTTGACACAACAGGGACAAATTTTAAAGGAGCCGATTAAGTTATACGAGTACGTAGCCTGATGAATAATTCAATGAATTTGAAAATTATAGAGAGGGCTTGAAATTCTAGCAAAGTTGAGACATGCTTATTGCACTTGCAGAACCTTTCATTGAAGGAAACACTTCGTATAAATTACAATTGACTGCATACAAGGAAACCAAGTGATGATGATAAATACCTAATCGCATCAGAAACAGATTTCGTAAATCTACCAGGAATTTTTTTTCCATTCTTTGGTTTCATTTAATTTTATTTTTTCAAAGGTATTTTTATTTCTGGTGGCTACGTTCCTCCAATCACTTCACATTGTATTGTGCAGAAACATTCTTACATTCAGCCCGTCTCGGATATCTATTCTATCGTCGTAGCTGCAGGATTCCACAGAAGTCACTTCACTGAGACGTTTGTGTTCCGTCTGGCACTTCAGTTCGCTGTTGCAGAATAGAAAAATCATAATAGAAATGCAAATTTAAGAAGAAAAAAAACTGTATAAAAGTTGCATTTCAGTTTTCCTGCAATGGAAATTTCTCGATGGGGATTGGCGCTCGTAAAAACTCATTTTTACATTTGCAATTGCCCTCGCTTGAAAATGCAGTCCAATGTTCTGGCCAAGCATTACCGTACAGAGGAAATATTGCATAAAACATTGGAACTATTAATATAACAACAACTTTTCAACAATTTGTTTAAACGATATACGTTGATTGTGATCCATGAATACGTTCATGCATTAGCCTAATACATCACGTTAAGGCATTGTAAGTATTCCAATTAGACATCTTCAATCGAACACTTTAACAACTTGTTCAGAGCTTATTTGAAATATTTAGCATTGGAAGTGCCTTGCAGTTGGTCAGTGAATCATTAACGATCAAGACTATTAAGACTCTTCGAAAAACATGCTCTTCTACAGTTGCCACTGATTGCCGTTGATGATTTCTCTGAACTTACGATGACAGTATTCCAATTGCTCTTCCGTCATCCTGTTCGCCCATGGGTGCAACAGACGTCGTCACCCCGAGTGGAGTGGTTGTGATGCTTTCACTGGATGTTGAGGCATCATCAGGGTTTACCGTCCCATCTATATTCTTCTTCCATTCTAGCACGATATCAATACAATATATATATCAGTAGAGAAGAACTTGGTCTTTAAGTTCCGTAAAATGACATTTTCGGTTTCGACGAAACATTTTTTTTCTCAAAATATTCGTCCTTTTCGAAAGATTAAGTCAAGAAACGATAGTTTTCCTAATATCCGGCGATTTCATGTTCATCCCAGCTTAAGATCTTCAGAACTGAAAAACTGTGGCATTTATTAGTTTAGATATCATATAAAACATCAATAAAATCTTTCATTTGGCTCTTAAGAGTTTTACCTAATGCAAATTTTAAAACATTCTTTAGATGCTTAAAACAGTCACCTGAGATAATACTAGTAGTATTTATTGAAAAATAATGTTTCTGGAAACCTATTCAAATGTTTTTGGAGCAAATCCACACAAAAATCAATCCGTCAAAATAAAAAGGTAGCAATGAAAACCCGTAGAAGAAAGGATGTAAGGAGATGTCATGAAAATGGCTGCGTACTCCTTGAGATGAGAAATATAAAGACACATTGCTCAAATTATTTGCAGGAGTTTCAAATTCGTGCAGTGATATCCGTGATGCTGGACATGTGGTTATGCTTAAAGCGCTACCAAATGTTTAGCATCTTAACTTTTTTTGTTAAGAGGGGGATGCTATTGGCGATCGATAGGAGTGGTTAATTCGAAATGATATTGGTATTCAAGGATTTTCATCAAGGTTAATTTGTGAACTTACTCATAGTTATAGAATTAGTAAAAAATCCAAGGATCAAGTTCGCGTTAATTTAGATTTTCCTGAATTCTTTGTCTGACAGTATTTTGAATTTATTGTATGAGCTAAGTTCTGCCTATTACGAAGACCAATCAATAAGTTATCTACCTGAATATGAAAGGGATGAGCAACAGGCCTGTATCCCAAGAATGCTGACTCCAGCTCAGAAGAACAGATCTGACATCTGCAAGGAAAACTTGAAGTTTTCTAAACAAATTGGGGGGAAACCTTTTTTCCCAGAATAGTAACTAGTGATGAAACTCGGGTTCATCACTGGGATCCCGAAACCAAGCAGGAGTCCATGCAGTGGAAGCACGAGGGATCGCCAACGCCTCGCAAATTTCGTGTTCAGAAATCTGCGTGAAAGATTATGGCCACTGTGTTTTGGGACAGCGAGGGACTACTGCAGCTTGAGTTCGTGCCAGACAAGTGTACAGTCACTGGCGATTCCTATGCTACCACCATGGAAAATTTACACGATGCCATCAAGGAAAAACGCAGAGGAAATTTGTCAAGGGGGGTCCTTCTCCATGACAACGCGCCTGTCCACAAATCATGGAAAGTTCAGGCAGTAGTGAGGGAGTGTGGCTTTCAGGAGCTCAACCATCCTCCCTACAGCCCGGATCTGGCTCCTAGTGTCTATTTTCTGTTCAGACACTTGAAACAATTTTTGCGGGGAAAAAGATTTGCATGCAATGAAGAGCTGAAAGTCGCCGTTTCTGATTGGTTGGATGGACAAGAATTGACTTCTATTCCCAGGGAATAAAATCCTTGGAATCAAAGTGGAATAAGTGTGTTGAGTTAAAAGGTGACTACAATGAAAAATAAAGTGTTATTTTTCCCCTCGGATGCTTCTTTCTTATTCAGGTAGATAACTTATTGAGTGACCCTCGTATCTATGGAAGTATTGAATGCTCTGAACTGCGTCAATTCTTATTTTCATGTTAAGAAAGCAAAATTCAAGAGTTCTGAGATATATCTATATAAGGACGAAATATGAAAAGAGAATTGGGAATGAATTTCAGTGATTGTCGCTCTAAACCAATTTCCGAGTTAAAATATGCAGAGTTCTGGTTGCCTGAACTTTGATGCCACCATTTGTCGCCCTATATATATTAAAAGTTTGCGAAACTCCTTCTAGATATAATTCTGGCCTATCTTCGATTATGATCCTGTAATTTTATAGCAGCTACAGTGTTTTACGGAATAAAATTCCTACGAGATTTTAACTTCGAGGGATCACAACTGGCATCACATTCTGAGAACCTGCGCCTCATTGCGACATACTCGTACTTACGTTGCAGGACCATTGTGGAGATTCTCGCTACGGGTTACTTGTGGGTCACTTGGAAAAAATGTACCATCCTCATTATTCCGGAAATCGGCAGATTAATAAAACTATCTTTAAAAAAAACCTGTGAAATGAAACTGCTAAGTTTTTTAGTCCTTCTCCCATAATTAAAAAGAATTGGTTTTAATAGAAGCTTCCCTTTTCCTTTCCCTCCTAGGAAAACTTCAAATGGCAGGCATTCTGGGTTCGACGTAATTTTCAAGATAGAAGAAGGAATTGACAAGAATCCACTCAATGCATATTTAGAAAATGTAGAAAATACCAGCAATTTGAAGAGGATAGATTGTAGATGGAGAGAACCTCAAAGATCCTTTTTATTGGACGTAATATCCAGTGCACAATTGAATTTTTCCCTCTCTGAGTCAAAATAATGATGGTGAAACTTGCTTTAGTCAATGGGTATCGCTGATGTAATTCTGAAGATTGAAATGAACGACATAAATAAGTTAGGGGTATGTCATCGTATCCCTAAATAAGTTTTTCATAAAATAATACGGACTTAGGAAGAAGAAGCAAGATTTTAATTGGAATCTCCGATTAGAAGAGCACACTTTCTCCAATTGCTGACAATACAGAACGTATCGACGTGGGCGACATCTACATTCATTAGTTGATAGTAGCAGTTACAATATCTGCAGATGCATAATAGAAAAGCATGGTGAGTCATAGGAGCGCATGGTAAGAGGGAGTTCATTTAATAGGCAACGTAGGAATTGCCCGAACATTTGCGGTTTTACCTTTTTGCCTGTATGACTACATTGTATCACCCAATACACTTTTACCTGTGGTGGTCTTAGTCAAGTGTTACGAAAACTGAATGTCCCGTCCTACACCAAACATTTGACTCATGTAGCACCAATGTTATTGGTTGCAATCCAGTGTTTCTTCTGTTTAATCTAGTCCAGAATTCGACTTTGTCGTTGGGACTCTGTCTCTGTCTCTAACAGAGAAAATGACGTACGTAAAGCAGGCGGTCGTAAGTCGTAAAACTTCATAAACAAGGTCTGAAAGGAGCGGAAATTGAAGAGGTGGGAAATAAGTTGAACCTGTGCCGAACCTTCATTTGAAAAATTGGATCGATACCTTGAAACAGGATTTAATGTCATATGATCTAGAGGCATGCGGGAAAACGAACATAGTAGCACATGGGATTGAATAAATATTGATTCAGTGTTGATACCACATCCGGATATTGAATCAACATTTGAATCCATGTTGTTTCACTGTCATGTACAACTAGGGGACGTCAACGAATAAATTAGTCAGCCAGGTGAAGCGCTGGATATGGCGAAATTCCAACAAGTCCATTAGGAAGATGACAAAGGATTTATATGTCTCGAAGTCGACGATGATAGGGGTGCTCAAGAACGAGCTAGAGTTCACCTCCAACCAGCTTCAGAAGCGAGAGCTTTTCAATGCAACTACGAAGAGTAAGAGACTCTCTCGAAGGCACCTGATGCTGGAGAGGCAATATGTTGTGCTAAGGATGTCAATGAGAGGTACGACCGAATGTCCTAGGTTCGGTGGTGTAGCGGTAGCACACCAAACAGGTGGCCTGAGTTCCAGTCCCGGCCGTTCCATGGTATTTCCTCGTCCTCTCAAGCCATCCAACTCCTCCTATAGTCAACGTCTGAATCACATCACATCTACCGGTATAATGGGTCGATCTGCAACATCGTCATCTCGGACGAGAAGTTATCACGGTGCAGGCAGTCCACAACATGTAAAATGATCGCGTTTTGGCACGAAGTGGTGAGGATATTCCCGACCATACTGTAATGGTATTCCACATCCAGAAGCCGTCCTCCGTTATGGTGTGAGCCGCCGTCACTAACACGAGCAAAGTCTCCTCTCGTCTTCGTTCCTTAGGACATGAAAATCAACATGGACGTCTACATAAAATCCATCCTGCAGGATGACCTGCTCCTCCGGGCTCAAGGTCTGTTTGAGAATGAGCCTTGAAAATTCCAGTAGGACGGAGTAGCAGCTCATACAGCGAATGTGACCCTGGACTGGTGTCGGAAGAATTTTTCAGGGTTCCTGACCAAGAAAGAGTGGTCCAGTCGTCTGCTGATCTGAATCCTCTTGAGTACGCCATGTAGTACTCGATTCTCGAGTCTAAGGCCTGTTACAAGCCCAATCATATTCTGAATCATCTCAGCCAACATTTTGTTCGAATTTGGGACGATTCAACAAATTCGAGAATATATTGAAGGTCATAATTGAAGACCAAAGATGGCCACTTGCAGTGAATCTCAGGTCATGTCTGGTCCATTATGTCAGGAACATGCTCCGCGAATTTCAAGTCAATAAAACGTGCTATTCCTAAGAAATCAATGGGCGTGGTAGCGCCCATTATCTTTCTTCTACCCCTTCTGGCGACAAAATTAAACCGTCTCGTATTCCTCACTGAGAGCAACAACATGAAGGAAATTTGACCTACTTCTTCCTCTCTCAATACAGAATCGTTCCAGAAAATTTGAAGCTCCATCGCCCCAAGGTTGCGGAGAACACTGAATTTCGCTTTTGGGAGATGTGAATTTCGTTCCGGTTTTAATTTATTTTTTGTCCACCAACCTGGGTAGCCAGTGCGGGGCAGTTTTCGGAGAATGGGGAATACCGAATCAAAGATATTCATTTGGACGGGACAAAAAGTCCCTTTTTTGCCTTCAGTGTACCATTTTGCCATAAAAAGTGAAATTAGATAGAGTTAACTTAGGCTTAACGCTATGGCTTCTGTCCGTCCAACAGTGTTGCCGGATGTCATGCCGGCGTTATGTCAGATTCACGACTTCTTTAGCCTTAGGATCATTGTTTGGATCTACTCGTTTTAATTTAGGAAACGTTAGTGTGCTGAGTTCATGGGATGAGCTCAGATTGAAGCGTGAATTGAATCAGCCTAATTGGTCCGCAGGCCGAGAATTGAGTTTCTTTTGAGCGAAAAAAGGATGCCTAGGCCCGACCTGAAGACAGTCGGTTAGGCATAGGCCTAACGTTTCTAAGTTTCGTATAAAAAAGGAGGGGGGGGGGGGGGTGAGGGTGAGGATGAGATTGAAGAAAGATGAAACCGTTGAAATTGGCTTTTACATTCTGCATTTGCTCCTTGGTTCGCATGCTAACTTATACCACCCTGTAGATGAAGAGTGAATATTGTATTTAGCAGTTAATTTATAATGGAAGTTCCTTAAAGAACTGTAGGAGGGACGGGTACAGTGACTCCCGGACCTCCTTTTATCCCTTCACAAAAACTCCTAAGAAACTTATCTCCTGTTTTTCATCGAGTAGTATAACGACGAACGGATCTTGTTTTCCACGGATCTGCATCCCTTCGATAAGCGTGATGACGTCTTTCTTTTCCAATTGTCGAAGCAACTCTAAGGTGTCCACGTGATGTGCATCCCGTAGCTCCAAGCTCGTCGCTTTGATCGCATCCCATGTGTGCATGGCCCTTCTCATCTGCTTAGAAGGAATAAATAATTGTATTCCAATAGCGTCATTTGCCAAAGTTCGAGCCCCTCAGAAAATGTACCTAAGATCGAGATAGCACATATTCGACCCCTGCCACTCAATACAATATGCCAAAATACTGCTAATCACATCCTATTGCATCGTCTACTGACAAGGGACACTACACATGATAATTTAAAAATTTTTACAAAACGTTGGCCATTGCAAGGGCTCTCAAAACCAAGTTTTGCGACCGCACCAAAACCTGCGGCAAAGGAACAGGTTTAGCTCATAAATGGCTCTCCCAATTTTCAGTGATACATAATGATTATAGTCACATCCCTATTTTCATAGACTATAACTTTTAAAGGGAAAGTCATATTCAGGTGCTATTTGACAGAGAGGTTCATGAGTGATTGACGTTTTCCAATTCCGAAATATGGCGTGCATGCCGCTAGAGGGCGGTGATGCCAACAGCAGTGCAACCTACCTTCTTGCTATGTCATTTTCTAGGCACTGGAAAAAATTCAATCACACTCGGTTGTGACGCGCCGCCACAACTCGTGGATGCTGATTGGCTCATTTTCGTTCACAGATAGTCTTCGCTTTAAGCCTTGCCGCAATGTTCCATTGGGTTGAGGTCTGGTGACTGCTGGCCATTCTAGGTCCTCGATTCTGAGATGCTGGAAGCATTGGTGAGCTATCCGCAAGGAGTGTCTCGGATCATTGTCTCGCTGAAACACCACCTCTCTCACTTCCAGCCGGTTGAGCCCAATTGTCTTGAGCAATTCGTCCTCGATAACGTTTGTATACACCTTGGCATCTATTCTTCCTCGTGTTTGACACCCGTATGCTCCTCCTTCGGGCGTCATGTTCCCCAAAAGGACAAGACGACCCCACTATACTTGCGCGTTCCCCTCACATGCCGACTTGCTAGGGACTCGACAACTGGTGGAATTCGCCTCCCGTCAGAAGCATCGGACCATAGAGGACTGGAAGAGCATAATTTGGTCAGACGAGACGAAAATCAACCTTATGAAGTCGGATGGGCGTGATTAGATATGGAAACAGCGAGGGAAAAGGTATTGTCTCCCCGTTCAGTCTCTCCGCAACGGTGTTGCCACCTATGTCTAATTACAAATCCCCGACGTACTATCGGTTCTCACAGCCTATACCTACAGTTTATATTTCTTCTTATATAACTTATAATTGATATAAAGGTGTATAAAAGCATCATCGAGGATGAATTGCTCAAGACAATTCGGCTCGACTGGCTAGAAGTGATAGAGGTGGTGGTGCAAGACAATGATCCGAGACACACCTCAGGAATGGCTCAACAATGCTTCCAGCATCATCGAATCGAGGTCCTAGAATGGCCAGCAGTCATCAGACCTCAGCCCAATGGAACATTTGCGGCAAGACTTGAAGCGAAGACTAACTGTGTACGAAAATGAGGGTTAGTCGTAGGTGCTCAACACCGCCGCCGAGTTGGCTCACACTTCGCTAAAGGAA